AAACATTACACAGTTGTGGTTGTTGTGCTCTTGAGTTGAGTTCAGGTGGAGAGAAACATCTGAAGGTTAAAAAGCTGGAGGAAGTTGTCCGTCAGTTAGAAGCAGATCTGGGTCCAAACACTTCAACGTGCTTTGTTTTAACACTGTCAGGTTCGTGTGTTTCTAATTAAACATTCATCTCAGAGTGAACTCTGCAGAGTCAAATCAAAATGCACCAGGAGCAGAATCGAGCAGAAACCAACATTTGAACCCAGGTCTGAGCGAGAGAAGCAGATCTGACGTCGCTGAGATTAGAGCTAAAGCTCCCGAGCAGCAGGAGGCATGAAACACTGGTGAGACGTCTCAAGGATCAGACTCAGGTTTCGGGTACAGATCAGAGAGTGTTAGAGAGGAAGGGCTGACGGCAGCGTTCCCTGTAAGTCAGCAGCGTCAAGTCTAAATGTTTTTTATTCTGGAATTTAGTGGCTTAAAATGCATCTGAAGTTAAAAACACATTTCAACACAGGATAAAGCTCCGAGAAATAATGGACGCTGAAGACACAAAGAACATAAGTGGAGAATGTACAGATCACATCATGTGATGATGCTTTGATCAACACGCTGCTCGTTTGGTCGTTAATATTCAAGCTTTAACTGCAGCTGAACATTTCCTGCATTTCCCAGAATGACTCTGCAAACATCATGAATTCACTGCACCTCAGCTACATAGGTTCTAAACGGTCGTTCCTTTTCCCTTTTTGTTCCAACATAAACCTGTAAACTTTTCTAGAACTCGTACATGGCACCGCTGACTTCAAGGAAACGTGCAGGTCAGGTCACAGGATTAGTTTCTTCATCAGGGTCATATCACAACACGCCAACTGGCTAAGTCACGACTAGCACCAACAACAACGTCACCACAGCGCTCGCTACCGCTACAGAATGAGGGGGAACATGGGAATAAAATCACTACACATGAAAAACAACCGTGGCCGTGAAGCGGCTAGCTACTCGCCAAGTGGTTGTTAAGGCGACGGGTCACATGTCGTCAATCTGCGGAGACCCAGGGCGGAAAGGTGGCGTCGAGAGAGGGAGGGGTTTAAAAAACAAAAAGCAGACGTTAATGAAAACAGAAACTGAGGGCGGGTGAATATTTTTAAAAATGTGGTGAAAAAGGAAAACGTGAAACAAACAGATGACAAACAGAATTCTACACTTCTAAGCTTTAAAGTCACGAAACATGAGACAGAAGAATACGAGCACGATGAGGCTGACACACAACTGAGCAGAGCTACCGTACGAGTGTGCGATTTAACACAGGTGCACTCTGGGAATCTACTGAGAGCTTTTCAGACATGTCCAACACTTCACGCTTCATCCATCCCTTTACCTAAAGGTCGACTAAAGGTCACACGGACACTGTGGGAACAAATGAGGGTCAACGAGGTTTCGAGCTTTTGAAAAGATCTTGAGAAATAATATTTTTCAATTCTGATCATCTCACGTCCTCATAATCACGCCGGCTCATGTTTGAGCTCATACAAGACGACTGATTATATTTCTAAAGCAGCAGTGGTCACGACACTGTGTTTGAGTGAGTTTAACAGGAAGTGAATGAAGGAGGAGAACCAAGTTTGTAAATCGTCTGTGTCAGTGTTTATCACATTTAATAAAGGTTTAAATGAATCTAATGAAGACATGTCTGAGGCTCTACGCTCGTAATGATGGTTCCACAAAGGTCCAACGTTACAGGACCCACACAACTCAGCTTCTCTACCAGCGATGAAGACGGAGGTCAGAGGGCGTCTAACTAAACGGTTCTAAGATGGACGACTTCAGCAGAATCCACACCCGCCCACAGACACAGTGCCGACAGCAGGAAAGAAAGAAACTGTCGACGGCCTTTCACACCACGTTTCATGCATCCCTCCGAAGAGGCGGAGCCTAAGAGACAGATGCGGAAGTGGGAAGGGGGTCACATGTGGAAAGGGGTGGGGCTAGTCACCAGGGGCTCCACGTGCTGCTTGAGCTCCTCCAGATGTTCTAATATATTCTTCTTTGTGATGATGCCCAACACAATCCTGAAACACACAGCTGTTACTGGTGAACTGACCAACAACAACAACAACCAATGAACACAGAGAGAAAACAGACAGAACAGGATGCAACTGAAAATATTAAACACAACGTGATACAAAACCTGCTGGAAATTGATTTGACGTATATCACGGATATGACCATAAACAAAAATTATATCAAATGAAATGTAAAATGCTGAATCACTGTTCGTGTACGAGTCTGGTGATGTTCTATATTGTTCTGACTTTAACCTCAAACCAACAACAACCGGCTGATCTTAGTCAAAGTCCCTGAAATCTGAAGTTGTTTCCACACATTCTGCTGATGTAAATACTCACTGAGACTTGATTAACAAAAGAAATACGTTTTGGAAAATGACTGAGCCTCAAAAAAATAAACTCTGTATATCTGTGACCTGTTTATTCTTCAGTAGGAACAAAGATCATTAAGGAATAAAGTTCAAAAATAATTATGGAAGTAAAACTCATTAAAACGTAAAGTAAAATTTCATGAGATTTGTTGTCATTCAGGAAAATATAAAATACCACCAGTCTCGTCCTTCAAGGTTTTAAAAAGTTCAACATAGAGATAAATAAATATAAACGAAGATAAGTGATCAGTAAACTGAGGAATGAATCCTGTAATTCCTTCATGACACCAGCAGGTGGCTCCCGGATATTTGTCATTTCTAATAAACGTTTGACTCCGAGCCTAAATCCAGATGTTCTCCTGCCTGACTTTAGTCCCCCAGCATGAAACCAGTGTAGTTGCAGTTAGTTTGAGCAGCTCAGTCTCTTCCGCTGAGGAGACGTCTGTTATCGCTCAGGAGGAGGGACAAAGGAAGATCAGCGGTTAGGCCATGCAGGGTCAATCCAGGGATCTGAGCCCATGCAACAACGGGCAGACGGATGAGTGGACTTCTTCCAGCTCATCCTCTACTCTCTGTCTCCTACTTACCCGTTGTGAGTGACCAGGCACTGGCGCAGGCCCAGCTTCCTGAAGATGTCCACCACGATCTCCATGGGCGTGTGGTCGGTGACGGTGAAGGGGCTCATGTCCAGGATGGAGCGCAGCTTGAGGGGCCGCGGGCTGTCGGCCGGCAGGGTGGGTGCGTGCTGAGTGAAGTACACCCGGGAGTTTAACACGATGCCCTCCTGCTTACGACGGGCGTTTTCTGACGAGAGAGCAACAGAGATCAGGAAACGAGAAACTCTTTATAAACAAAGAACCAATCATCTGCACACTGGGAGGAAGTTGAGTTTCAGAGTTTTGCTTTAGAAACTTAGCACAATGTAACTCTTACAGAGCAACAGCGCCCCCTGCAGCCACCCGTGGCAATTAAGTGGCTTTTAAAGGGATAAGGGAACTGGACACTGGAAATTACCCATGATCCTCTGCTTCCTGACCCAGAAGAGCTGCTGTAACAACTCCTTCATTGAAACCATGCAGTGTTACCTATAGCGATGGTGATGTCCCTCCGCAGAGCAAAGCCCACCAGCCTCTGGGACTCCTTGGACACTATCACAGGGAAACCGTTATAACTGGTTTCGTTGATGATGCCTTGCAGCTCCTCCACAGTCAGGTCGTCCTGCGTCAGCACCGCTAACGGCGCCTCGCTGCGTCGTGGCCTCATCACCTCCCTGGCCAGCGTGGTGTGCGTGAATTCCTCCTTGGCGTCCAGGAAGGGATATCCGTTCAGACGGATGTGAGCCTCGTAGATTCCCTCGCGGCCAAATGCGTCACCCACCCATTTGCTGGTCATGACGGCAGCCATGAGTGGGACGATGTACTCCAACCCGCCCGTCAGCTCGAAGACGATGACCACCAGGGAGACGGTCATTCGAGTCACACCCCCTGCACATTCAACAGATGATGATCAGCTTGTGATCTTTGACTTGGATGTTCACCAGCGCTGTGTGTGAACCTGCTGACTCACCCAGACACGCTGCAGCCCCCACCATGGCGTACAGCCCTGGAGTGATGCAGTCAGCTCCCACCTCGCACCACTCTTTGAACAGGAACCAGTCGTGGTGGTAATACGCCAGCTGCTCCACTGCAATGCCAACGATTCTGCCTGCTATCGCCCCGATGGCCATGCTGGGGATGAACAAGCCCGACGGAACCTGACCAGAGAGAGGAACTCGTGTTAGTGATGAATGAAGACACGTCGGTAAAACATCTGCCCTCTTTGAAAAAAAGAACATCCAGGCATCACCTTGAGACCAAATGTGAATATGGTCATGATGATTTTAAAGATGAGCGCCAGGCAGAGCTGCCACATGGCGGCGTAGACGCCAGGCCCCGCCGGCCGGTTGGGGTTGTCGCTGAAGGCTTTGCTGCCGTTCATCTGGCTGCGGTACTGACACAGCTGGGAGGACTCCAGAGGGCCGCAGTCAGTGAACAACTCCTTTATCAGCTCGCTGGTGTTCTGACGCGTGTAAGGGTTCGGGAAGGCGACCACAGCTGTGATGACGACCACAAGGATCACCTCCAACACCGGGTACTTTCCTGAAGAGAGACAGGAAATTACTCTGAGATCTGAGACGTAACACTGCTGATCATGCAGATGTGTTTTATTCTCATATTTAAAAGCCTCACATCATAGGGTTAACCAAACATCCCCGTTGTTTTAACGTTTTCACGCAGTGCGGACATACGTCAGCAGAACCACACATTTGTTTTGGGTCATTTTTCACCAGCTGATCGGTGACAGCAGCTTGTTGAGGGGTTTATACCTCAATGCGAATGTGAACAGAATGGGTTTTAATGCCTGGACTCAAACCACAGCTGCTTTCTGTTGATAATACTTCAAACTCAATGTTCCAGTTCTTAATCGTACTTTTTATTCATAAACATTTTAAATACAGTAAAACACAGTGAACAAAACACTCAACCTCTGTTTGACCTGAAACTATGGCTGGTCACTGAGTCATTCTATATATTCTATATATGTCCTCCTCTCAATGATCTGGTCATAAACATCTTTTCCCTTCACATATATCTCCCAACCTGAATCCTGGATCAAGACTAACTTACCGAAGCGCGTTGACTTGCGCCGCCGGCACCAGCCGATGTTGGCTCTGATGAAGAAAGCTCCCCAGAGACCTCCGAACACTCCCAGCAGGATGAAAGGGATGAGCTCAAACAGGTACCAGGGCGTGTGGTACTCCACATAGAACAGCACCAGACGGCTGTTACCAAAGGGGTTGATGGAGCGCAGGACGAAGGCTGCCACCAGGGCGGCGAAGAAGGAGCGCCACAGCGTCTTTAGAGGGAAGTAGTAGCTCACCTGGGGGGGGGGGGGGGATCAGGAGTGAGAACCTTCCTCCATCGTACTGACACTTTCTCTCAGCATTATGTTGAGATTATAGAGCATGAACAATAAGCCAGGGAGTAATTTGCAGACTTGTGACTGTACCTCCTCTAAGCTGAAGAGAACTCCTCCTATCGGGGCTCCAAAAGCCACAGACACTCCGGCGGCCGACGCAGCAGAGAGAACCTGAGAGGACGAAACAAACACACCTCACTCGAAGGGATTCTCGAACAACACTCAGAAACAGTCACGACAGCAGAACACAAACAAATGAAAGACATCGTCGATCTCACCTCTCGTTTCTTGGCCTCGTTCTTGCTGTACTTGGGGAAGAGGTAGGAAAAGATGTTCCCACAGCAGCAGGCCACGTGCACCAGGGGCCCCTCTTTCCCCAGGCTGAGGCCGGACGCCACAGCCAGCACCAGAGTGATGGTCTTGATCATCAGGGTCCACTTGCCCAGGTAGCCCCGGATGATAAACCCACTCAGGATGGTTTTAATCTGCGGAGAGAGAGAGGAAGGTGCTGCAGATTAAAATCAAGACTGTGGTTTCATTATTCGTCTTCAATCTACATCAGTAACTTACAACTAATTTAAATCAGTAGACAAAGGTCTGATTATCATCAAATATCAATAAAATGTCAGAAAATAAAGAATGAAATGTCCCAGTGAGCCGAGCTGAAGGTAACGTCTTCGTGTTGCTTGGTTTATTCGACCAAATATTCAAAATACTGTGATTTAGAAAAGAAAAAGTGCACCTGTGCTCGTTGAATACTTTTTAGTAAAATACTCAAAATAACTCAGTCAAACAACAACAGGAATGTGTTGTAGTAAACTGACTCTGTTCTATTTTATCTGCATCTTCTGGGTTCATGTTCCCATCGTGAAAAAAGGAAAAGGTTCAGCTCAGATCCCCTAAAATTCACAGAGTGGTCAAATCTGACACATTCACTATTTCTAAACAAGCTCAACAAGCTTCACTGTTATGTTAACTAATATTTCAAATGATGGTTCATCTCTAATGAGATGTTCAAAACTTCACTTGCTGTTTGAAATGTCTCGTTTGCAGACAGCGGGCGGTCGGTGACACATTCCAGCCGTACTTTTGTGAAAGCTCCACTTTGACGCTCACCTCAGGGATCCCAGAGCCGCAGGCGTACGGAGCGAACACCTTCACCAGACAGACGGCCAGGAAAGCGAAGGACAGAGCCCAGTAGATGTACATGAAGTAGTTCATGATGTACGAGCCGGGACCCTGCACAGAGACGAGGGGGGGGGGGTGAACTAATAAACACCTTGAGAGTCACAGGCAGCAAATATCTACAGAATGAAGCCAGAGCTCTGTTAGATTATCAGATTGAAATGATCAACGTTGCCATGGTAACTGAAGAGCCCCTCCAGCGCCTGCGTCTACCTCGGCCTGCCCCAGTATTAGCTCAGCCCAGCTCTTCCACTGGGGACACTTGTCCCGCTCA